ATGTTGGCCGCGTGCAAGGCAAATGCCCTACCCGCTGTGCTATCTCTCCAGCCCTCAAAGACTCTATTTCTAAGTGAGGAGATATTCAGATTCCTGGAGGAAGGAGCTTTAGGGAAACACCCATGTAAACGACTCTACTAGTAATGATGAGTATGTGGATCTAGAGGTCGGAGAGAAGGGACAAAGGACAAGGTGTCTGCCATGCACACAACTGACCCCAGTTTAATCCTGGTCTTCTGAGCACTTCCAGGAGGGATCCCTGAGCACTGCTAGATATGGGCCAAAACCAAAACCAAAAAGAGTGGTCTGTTATAACAGATCTCCTTTAAAATCTTTCAAGGATCCTTGGGGTATGGTGTCACCAGCAGGTCAATCTGTACCTGTGAGGCGAGTGCATCAGCAGCCTGACTGTGCTTTCAGACTTCTAGATACTCCAGAATTGCTGCTATGCTTTTGGCCAGACCACAACAACTTGGGGCCAACTTTACCAAGAAAGTAAATGGCTAAAAGTTAGGTATATGGGGGGCTGGAGCAATAGCACAGCGGGTAGGGAGTTTGCCTTGCACGCAGCCGACCCGGGTTCAATTCCCAACATCCCATATGGTCCCCTGAGCACCGCCAGGGGTGATTCCTGAGTGCAGAGCCAGGAGTAACCCCTGTGTATCGCTGGGTGTGACCCAAAAAGCAAAAGAAAAAAGTTAGGTATATGGGAGACATACCCACAAACCACCTCCGGCCCAGCTATATAATTGGAGGCAAGGCCTCTCTGGTTCCTGGTCAAACTGCTTATGGCCATGATCCAAGAGACTCAGAAACAAATCTCAGAACCCAGAGGCTTTTGGCAGAAATGCATCTGGTCCCCATAGTAGGTTACCGGCACTGGGCCACCCCAGGTGGGAAAGGGTGCTGTTCCTCCGCCTGCACCCCCTTGGCGGCTCGGTGGCCACCATTCTCCAGAGGCCATTGGACAGTCAGGTTTGGGCCCGCAGTGATGAGACATTTTGGGCCTCACGGGATGAGGGTGGAGCCGGTCCTGTCCTCCTCACCCCACAAGACCCCAAGTCATCGCCCATGAATGGCCTTTCTCGCTCCTGATCAAGCTGCTTAATGGCCATGATCCCAGAGACTCAGGAGCAAATCTCGGAACCCAGCAGGTTTGGGCAGAAATCCCTCCAGATTTAATTGTTAAAATTTCAGAATTCCAAAATTGCGTGGCCACTACTGCAGCCGTGCAACATCATGTGTTATTCATAATCAGCAATAGAAAACAAATTGTCTATGGTTTCCTTTTCAGCAGACCTGAGTGTTGGGGTGAAATCCCAAATAATAATGGTGGGTCGGGTGTCGAAATATTTGAATGTGATCAAAGTAGAGAGAGAGTAATGTGGAAGCCATCTGCCACACAGGTAGAGGGAGAGTGTGGGATGGGGGTATACTGGGGTTTTTGGTGGTGGAAAATGGGCACTGGTGAAGGGACGGGTGTTTCATCATTGTATGACCGAGACTTAAACCCAAAAGCTTTGTAACTGCTCTCATGATGATTCAATAAATAAATTCATAAAAATAAAATAAAATAAAATCCTTCAAGGACCCAACTGGCAGTTGGAAGTACTCGGAATTAACAAATCCTGTTTCTTTGATGATCCTGCTGGCAGCTGGACAGTGTGAGTACTGTCACTGTCACTGTCCTCCTGTTGTTCATCGATTTGCTCGAGCAGGACCAGTAACATCTCCATTGTGACAATTGTTACTGTGTTTGGCATATCGAATACGTCATGGGGAGCTTGCCAGGCTTTGCCGTGAGGGCGAGATACTCTCCATAGCTTGCTGGGCTCTCCGAGAGGGGCGGAGGAATCGAACTTGGGTCGGCCATGTTGGTCGCTTGCAAGGGAAACGCCCTACCCGCTGTGCTATCGCTCGCAGCCCAATGTGAGGACCTGCACTTTCTTTTATTTTAATTATTTTTAGTTTGGGGGCCACATCTGGTGGTGCTCAGGGCTTACTCCTGGTTCTGCATTCAGGGATCACTCCTGGCATTCAGGTTCAGGTTCAGAGGACCATATGGGGTGTCGGATGGATGATGGAACCCAGGTTGTTTGCTTATCTCGCACCTTATCCACAGTACCATTTCTCTGGCCCTGTCTGTACTTTATTAGGATTCCGGAGGAGGGTTATCTTTTCATGCCAGATATTACTCTGTGTGTGTGTTTGTGTGTGTGTGTGTGTGTGTGTGTGCAGAAGAAAGCTGGAAAGAAAGTAAATCCCATTAAGATGTTTATTAATTTTTTTAAAAAAATTAAACTGCCGGAGGATTACTCCATAACTTAGAGGCCAGCCGGGTATCCTAGAGGAAAGGGCTATTCAGATAGAGAAGGGAGCACCAAATAAAGGATGTTTGGAGGATCCTCCCAGGAGGGGAGATGGATGTCGAAAGTAGACTATGGACTGAACATGTTTGCCACTCAATGCCTCTTTTGCAGACCACAACACCCAAAAGGAGAGAGAGAACACAGGGGATTGCCCTGCCACAGAGACGGGGGGATGGGGGGATGGGGGTGGGAGGGATATTATCCATAGTGGTGGAAAATGGGCACTGGTGGAGGGATGGGTATCTGATCATTGTATAATTGAAACCAAAGCACAAAAAATTGTAAATCTACAACTTTAAAAAAAATAAAATAAAATAAAGGGGGAAAAAAAAAAAAAAATTAAACTGCCTATTAGTAAATCAAGTAAACACATAAAGAAATGTTTTCACAAAACAATAAGCACTTTTCTTCAAGTGTGAGTGGCTGCTATTATTTTTATTTTCTGTTAATCAGTATATTATGCTTTAGGCAATATTTATGTGTTTAATGAAAGTAACGTGAAAGCATTTGAACTTGTTTTGCCCAGCCCAGAAGTAATTGCTGTGGCTAGGGAAGGGTTTTAAAAAAAAAGGGTGATCAGCAAAACACAGGGTTTAGCCCACTTAAATTCATATAACATTGGGATACTATGACCAGGGCAGTCAGAGAGGAGCTGTGATAAGAGATGTGTGGTGGCCATGGTGCAGGCCAGGAACTGACCAGGAAAATGGTCAAAGAGGATGGAAGAGGATGTTGATTTCCAAGCTAGAAATGAGACTCTCGGGGGCTGTAGCGATAGCATAGCAGGTAGGGCGTTTGCTTTGCATGCAGCCAACTCAGGTTCGATTTCCAGCATCTCATATGGTCCCCTGAGCACTGCCAGGAGTAATTCCTGAGTGCAGAGCCAGGAATAACCCCTGATGTGACCCCCCCCAAAAAAACAAACAAACAAAAGAAAAGAAATGAGACTCGCTGATGGAATGGATGCACGGTATGAGGGAAGAGGAGGCAAGGGAGGCTAGAGGTGACACAGGCGGTTGGATCCCCAGAACTGCACATGGTTCCCCCAGTTTCACCAGGAGTGATCCCTGCACGCAGAGCCCCTGAGCACAGTGGGTGTGGTCCCCCCCAAAAAAAGCCCAACTACTAAGAAGAAGCATCTAGGGAGAGTGAAAGGCTGGGGGCTGAGGGAGGCTTTACCAAGGTGTGGTGAGGGCAGGGCAGGTGAGTCTGGAGGGAGAAGGGTGAGGAGAGTTTGGGAGTTTTGAGCTGAGGTTCACCCTGCAGTGAATGCAGATGGAAACAAGTGTCTGGAGACTGGGAGGAGGCTTTGGAGAGAGTCCCCACCTCCTAGGCTACCCTGAGGGGTAAGTGACTCTGGGCCTAAAAAAGTATCAGAGCGGGTGGGAGGGATACTGGGATCCGTGGTGGTGGAAAATGGGCACTGGTGGAGAGATGTGTACTCGATCATTGTATAACTGAAACCCAAGCATAAAAACTTGTAAGTCTACAACTGTACTTCATGGTGTTTCATTAATAAAAATAAAAATAAAAAGAGAGAATGGGCACTGGTGGAGGGATGGGTACTCAATCATTGTATAACTGAAACCCAAGCACAAAAATTTGTAAGTCTACAACTGTATCTCATGGTGTTTCACTAATAAAAATTAAAAAAAAAAAAAGTACCAGAGCAAAGTCTGGCCTCCATGTGGTCAGAGGGGCGAGTTCCCCTCCCATCAGTCTAGCATTTAAGTCCACTCTGGAAAGCCTGAGAAAGAGGCTTCGGTTCTCTGACCCTCAGTTACTTCATCTGCAAAATGAAGATAATAATCCCCTTGCTCCAAGGGTTCTCAGGAAGAGCAAATGAGAAACAATGGATTTCCGTGCCCGTAAGTGCTCATAACTATCTCTTAGGTCTTCAGGGTGCCCCGTGGTGAAGGAGAAAAGATGCAAAGTCATCTTCCATCCCAGCTGTTTATTGAAAGGGAGGGGAATAGAATGGGTGCAACGTGGGGGAGGGGCGACAGGTCCCCTCGCCCCTCCAGAGAAGGGAGGGACTCGCCGTGAGTTGTCCTGGCGCGCCCCCTAGTGGTGGAAAGTGCAGCGACGCGCCTGACAGCCCAGCCTGCCTGCAGGTGGGGCAATGCCCTCCACCAGGGCACATTGACCCCATGGTAAGGGCAGGCCCTGAGGATTATGGTCTCCAAGTGGATGCACTCTGAGGGGTAAAAGCAACCAAGCTTTCTGTCTCCCTGGATCTGGGAGGCGACTCATATTCACATCCAGAGTATCTTCTGAGCCACCAGGGAGTGCTGAGTCCCCGGGGACCCTGAAAAATGCTCCAACTGGCACTCTAAACCAGGATCTGGTGGGAACATGGTTGCTTTCTGTCCCTGGGGGTTTCTCAGGAAGGAGGACAGGGTGGGAAGCTTGGGGAGTATTTGGGAAAGGCTGACATCTCAAATGTCTGGGGCACCAGCCCTGGGGAAGGCTCAGGGATGTGAACTCCAGGCTCTGTGACCTGAGCTTGGGCCTCCTGGAGGAGTCGACCAAAAGGGCCCTACTGGGTGGGGGAAGCCCTGGGGGGGTGGGAAGGTGGGACTGTGGGGAGGACGAAGGGTCCATGCCCCAGGTCGGGCTTGTCCTCTTTGGTCAGGAGTCCCGCCGGGGCTGGATGGTCTGCACGAAGGATTGTCCAAACAGGCTGGTGGAGGGTGAGAGCCAAGACTGCCCGCCGTCGTCGAGAAAGACCGGGGAGAAGTGCTGCTCGGGCTCGTCCTCGAAGACCTCCACCTGACCTTCAGCTTCGGTGTCCAAGAGTGCAGCCTTGTAGTCCTGGCCTTGCCAGCTGGCCATGGCCCTGGCCAGGCAGTAGGTCAGCAGGATCCCGGCCGCCATGCAGAGCACAATGCCCGCCAGGCGACAGGTGAGGAGGGTGTGGTTGTAGTCGACTGCCCGTCGGTCTAGTACCAGGAACTCTCCGTCTTCAATGCCCTCCAGCTTGGGAGGCACCGCATAGCCCATGGTTAGGGCAGCCAAACCCAGCAGCAGAAACAGCGTTCCCGACGACAGGGTGATCTAGAGAATGGCAAATGGTTGACAGGCCATCAGGGAGAGCTGGGGACCCCTTGGGTGCCAGCCCCTTGGTCGGAGGTATCACACGCCTTTAGGATCTAACTTTGTGTACTGAGACCACAAGTTCTCATGTCCTAGCTGGTTTTGGGTTTGGGTTCGGGGGATACACCCAACAGTGCTCAGAAGTTACTCCTGGGTCTGTGCTCAGGGATCACTCATGACGAGGCTCAGGGAACAATCCAGAATGCTGGAGACTGATTCCAAGTCACCTGCACTCAAGCACTCAAGCGCGCTACCCACTGTGCTATCTCCTCCAGCCTATTGTTCTATTTGGAATCCCGAGGCATCTTTGATTCCTTTTCTTCCCACATCCCACCTGCAATGCCTTCCTCCCGCCCACCTTGAGTGCCCCTTTGTCAGTATGTAGGTCCCACCTACCCTCTATCTCTCAGTCAGGTCAGCTCTCACCTCAGATCTCACTTCCTCAGGGAAGCCTTCCAGAATACCCCAGACTTGAAGAGGTCCGTGGCTCTGCACTCAAGCCATCACTGAGCCTGTTCACCCACTGAAAGACCTGACTGCTCACTTGGACGTGTGCCTGGTTACTCTGCACATGATGTACGTCTGCCCCCTGCCCCCAAGCAATAGAGCCTGGAGAACCACCACAACAGAGACTGTCCAGGCCTTGCCAGGGATCTTTTAGGCCCAGCACAGCACCAGTACAGAGCAACAACTGAACGTGTGTTTGCAAAATCACTGAGCCCCACTGAGCCTGTTCCTCGAGGACAGAAGCTAAATGTTAAACTCTGAGTCCCCGAGAGTCTATAACACACTGCAGGAAGATGCTCAAGAGGGGCTAGAGCACAGCCAGTAGGGCGTTTGCCTTGCACGCGGCCGACCCGGTTCCATTCCCAGAATCCCATATGGTCCCCAGAGCACTGCCAGGAGTTATTCCTGAGTGCATGAGCCAGGAGTATCCCCTGTGCATTGCCGGTTGTGACCCAAAAAGCAAAAAAAATAAATAAATAAAAATTAAAAAATAAGATGCTCAAGAAATTTGAGAGGGGTCAGAGCGACAGTCCAGCGGGTCGGCCATTTGTGTTGCATGTGGCTGACCCAGGTTCAATCCCCAGCACCCCATATAGTCCCTTGAGCACGACCAGGACTGATATCTGAGTGCAGAGCCAGGCGTAACCCCTGAGCATTGCTGGGTGTAACCAAAAAAGCCCCCCCCCAAAAAAAAGAAGAAGAAGAAAGAAAGAAAGAAAGAAAGAAAAAAAGAAAGAAAAAGACCCATTCACTAACCCTCCCCCCAAGTCCCTCCCTGATCACCCCGGGCACTGGGAGCACTGCTTGCCCCAGAAGCCACAGTGTACCAAGCCCAAGGTTGGATGTTCACTCTGCTGGTGTGACACTCTGCCTCCTACCTAGAGTGAATGCCTTTCAAAGCAGAGGGAGACAATAGATTTCAGACCCCAGGATTGAGACTCAGCTCACGGCTGCCTTCCCAGTCCAGCCCAGGCCCCTGCCACTTGCCCCGGTTGGCATGGACATCGATTTCTTCCCTCATATCTTTCCCTGCCCCAGTCATAGTATCCAGTGTTTTATTTATTTACTGTAGCACTGTCCTCCCATTGCTCATCGATTTGCTCGAGCAGGCCCAGTAACGTCTCCATTATGAGACTTGTTACTGTGTTTGGCATGTCGAATACGCCATGGGTAGCTTGCCAGGCTTTGCCGTGAGGGCGAGATACTCTCGATAGCTTCCCGGGCTCTCCGAGAGGAGCAGAGGAATTGAACCTGGCTTAGCGGGGCAGGCAGCTTGCAAGGTCAATGCCCCTACCTGCTGTGCTATCGCTCCAGCCCTTTATTTATTTAAGTGGGCTAAGGCCTACATTCTGCTGATCAGTTTCAACCCTTGCTTAGCTACAGCAGTTAGTTCTGGGCTGGGCTGGGCACATGAACCCAAATGTAATACGTGTCAGGCTTCTGGTAATGCAAAGTCCTTGGGGTTGACTTTTGATTTTTTTTTTTTCCTGAAGGAAATTCTAGAAGGAATTCTGGTTTCCCTTGTGTGATGCAGCGTAAGACAGAGTCCACATGGGAGCCAGGTGAGGCTTCACACAAGTAGTCTGAAAACTCAATGAGATCTGGAGAGCCTCAGCATGATGGTTTACACTGCTGCATAGAGGGACTGGAGAGAGGGGACAGGAGGGAAGGCACTGGCCTTGCGTGTGGTGGTATCAGCTCTGATCCAGGGTCAAATCCCTAGCACCACATACGGTCCCCTGAGCACCTCCAGGTGTCACTCCGGAGCACAGAGCCAGAAACAGCCCCTAAGCACCATCAGCTGTGATCCAACCCTCTCCCTGAAAAAAAAAAAAATAGGGGCCAGACCAATAGTACAGCAGGTCAGGCAGCTTGCCTTATATGCAGCTGACTCAGGTTCTTTCCTTGGCATCCCACACGGTCCCCCAAGCACTGCTAGGAGTAATTCCTGAGTGCAGAGCCAAGAGTAAGCCCTGAGCATTGCTGGCTCTGGCTCCAAAATTAATTTTTTTAAACAATTTTTTTTTTTTTTGCTTTTTGGGTTACACCCGGCGATGCACAGGGGTTACTCCTGGCCCTGCACTCAGGAGTTACTCCTGGCGGTGCTCAGGGGACCATATGGGATGCTGGGAATCGAACCCAGGTCGGCCACGTGCAAGGTAAATGCCCTACCCGCTGTGCTATCTCTCCAGCCCAACACATGTTTAAGAATTTAAACTGCTGAACAAAACTTTGCCTGAATGCAACCAACTTCTGGTCTCCTCTATAAAGTGATCGACAGTTTTCCTTTATTACTGAGTTGCACTGAGTTCTATCTTGCTTGAACAAACCCTTCTTTCTTTCTGGCCTTTGGCCCTACCTCCTCCCTGCAGCCATGGGGAATCCCCGGAGTTGCGTCTCCCCCCCAGCCTTACCTTCCAGCACAGTGACGGCCAGGGTTGGCGGGGGTACAGCAGGGGCGGCCCCTCGGGGTCATCGTTGAGGGCAGTGCCCGCACAGTCCTCGTAGAAGAGGTGCAGATAGGAGCGAACCCCATACCACTTGCCGTCTTCCACTTTGGGACCACAACTACAGCTGCAGGCATAGCGACAACTCGTCATTGTGGATCCCTGCGGGAGGCAAGGCACAGCGGTGGGCTATCAGGGAGAGCTGCCCAGGCGACCCTCCCACACCCCCAGAATCTTTGGTCCTCACTCACTTGGTTTGACATTCCCCATAGTCCTAACCTAGCCTTCAGGAAGCCCAGCCTCCCGGTCCCAAGGAAGAAGCCAGTGTGGTGGGATGTCTAACCCAGGGGCCTGGAGTTGTCGGTGTGAATCAGTGAGAGTCTGGAGGATACACCATGATGGTCACTGCGGGTCCTGGGATCTACTTCTTCTTCTTCTTCTTTTTTTTTTTTTGCTATTTTTTGGGGCGGTGTCACACCCAGCGATGCTAGGGGTTCCTCCTGGCTCTGCACTCAGGAGTTACTCCTGGCGGTGCTCAGGGGACCATATGGGATACTGGGGATTGAACCCGGATGGGACACGTGCAAGGCAAACGCCCTACCCACTGTGCTACTGCTCCAGCCCTGGGGTCCTGGGGTCTAATGGCCTGGGTTCGAATCCCAACTCCACCACTTCTAATCCACTATCACTAATCTGCATTTCCTAAAATTCCATTTCCTCGTTTGTAAAACAAGGCTAGCCTCAGACCTGTTTTATATAGCTTCTGTGATTGCTACGGAGAAATGGTTGCTGTTTTGTTTATTGGAACTGTAATTTCTCCAGGATTACTATTTCTTTTTTCTTTGCTTGCTTGTTTTGGTTTTGTTTTTTGTGTCACACCTGGCCATGCTCAGGGCTTACGCCTGACTCTGCACTCAGGAATTGCTCCTGGCAGTGCTCGCAGGACCATATGGGATGCTGGGGATCAAACCTGGGTCAGCTGTGCAAGGCAGACAACAGTACAAAGATACCCAATATACTATTGCTCCAACCCAGGATTACTATTTGTTATAAGAACTATACTGGGTGGGGCCAGAGCGATTGTACAGCAAGTAGGGTGCTAACCTTGCACAACTCTGGCACCCCATATGTTCCCTTGAGCTCTCCAGGAGGGATCCCTGAGTGCAAAGCCAGGAGTTGGCCCTGAGCACAGCCAAGTGTAGACAAAAACAAACCAACAAAAACCAACAACTGGGGACTGTAAGTGATGTCAGAAATTAAATTGGAGCTGTGTGTAAGGCAAGCACCTTACTCGCTTGGACTCTCACTTGGAGCCTTAGTTATTATTTCTGTCCCGCACTTTTTGAGCTGGAGCGATAGCACAGCGGTAGGGCATTTGCCTTACAAGCGGACAACATGGCCGACCCGAGTTCGATTCCTCCGCCCCTCTCGCAGAGCCCAGCAAGCTACTGAGAGTATCTCACCCGATCGGCAGAGCCTGGCAAGCTCCCCGTGACGTATTCGATATGCCAAACACAGTAACAACAAGTCTCATGATGGAGACGTTACTGGGCCCGCTCCAGCAAATCAATGAACAACGGGAGGACCGTGACCGGACCGTGACCGGACCGTGACCGTGACTTTTGGAGCCCCATATCTAGAGCAAGAGAATCGGCCCCTTCCTTTCCAGGGTACTGTTGGGGGTAACTTGTCATGGCTGACATTCATCAAGTAGTTTCCCTCAAGCTTCATGGCCCCAACAGACACCTCCCCCACGGCAGATGTCCTCCCCATGACAACTTCCTCCTAAATCCCAAGAAATCTTCACTCCACCAGGGGCCCTCCAGTTGTTAGATTTGTAGAGAAAATCCCATGAGAAAGCCCAGAGCTTCTGGAAAGAAGTCCCCTCGATCCCTCTGGGTAGCTTCAGACAAAGTGAAGCAAAGTGATTAATCAAAGACACATCTAGGGGCTGGAGCAATATCACAGCAGGTAGGGCATTTGTCTTGCAGGAGGCGGACCTGGGTTCGATTCCCAGCATCCCATATGGTCCTCCGAGCACCGCCAAGAGTGATTTCTGAGTGCAGAGCCAGGAGTAACCCCTGAGCATAGCAGGGTGTGATTCACAAGGAAAAAAAAAGACACATTTAGCCCTTCTCCAATAACCCTCAAGTCTTCGCTACTGCTCCCAGACACTCACACAGACCCACCAACGACACAAAGAGACACACCCACACACGGAGTCACGGTGCCTGCTGGGCCGTTCCACTCCGAGCTTCCACAGATCCACACAGGCTGCGGAGCACCGTCCTGAAAGCAGGTCGATAAGGCGCGGCTCTCCGCAGAGCCTTCTACCGCAGCTGGGTGAGGAGGGGGTAGAGAGAAAACCGGAAAAGAGCAACATACACGTACGCATGCAAGCAAGTGAGCAGGATATGTATGCACGCATGCATACGTATGCATGCATATGTGTAAGCGCGGGTGCATGTGCGTACGCATATATGTTTGCACGTATGCATGTATGGAACCAGGCATGCTTGTTTGTATACATAGAGAACGAAGAAAGACCGAGCAAGTTCCGCAAGGGAAGGAGCTGGACCACCAGGAGCCGGGCGTGGCGCGAGGGGTGTGGCCAGGAACGGCCACGCCCCCAAGGGTGGGAGAACCAGTGGGGACCCGAGGGACGGTCAGTCAGTCTGTCAGTCATCGAGTAGAGCCCTTCAGTGATAGGCTGCGGGGTGGGAGGGGCGGGGCGGCGGCCCGGCGGCCCCTCAAAAGAAGGTGACCTTGGCGCTGTCACCCCTCAGCCTGGCCCCGGCGCCCCCGCCCCCCTCCCCAGTTTAGGGCTGCAAGGAGGGGAGCAGGCTCGAAGGAGGAGGGGATCCCGGGACTGGCGTTGCCCTAGGCACCGCAGGGCGTGTCCCCGGGCTGGGGGGCAGGGGGCAGAGAGCGCCCTGGGGTCTGCGTCGGGAGGCAGCATCTTCTGCGCCGTGGCTGGCGCAGGTCCCCCCACCCCACCCCCCGAAAATAGATGCTCTGACCTTGCACGGCCTCCCTCGACTCGCCCGCCCGCACCCCCAGACCCATCCCCTACCGCGCCCAACACGGTCCAGGCCGGAGAAGGGGCCCCGGGAAACCAGGCCAACGGCCCCAGCGCCCACCGCCGCACTGTTGTGCAGGGACCGCCCTTGCCTGGGTGGACAGTGCCTGCATCTCCCTCCCCCGGGAGGGACACTGAGGCAGAGAGGGGCGGTGGGTTTGACTAGCGGGGTGGGCGGGGTCCCGTCCTAGGAAGCCTGCACTCCCCCCAGGCCGACCCAGGGCCGTCTCGGGGCGACCCCTAGGCGCTGCTACCAGCCTGGCACCCCACCTCCCTCGGCCGGAGCCTCCCCGCGAAGGGTGGCGGGTCAGGGGTCTCCGAGCCTGGAGGGCGCGGGGACCCCGCGGGGTCGGGCCGCGCGCGGAGCAGGGCTGAGCTCACCTCTCCGCCCGCAGTCTCCGCCGAGCCAACGCGGGGCCTCCGGGCGCCTGCGCCGCAGTGTGGGGGGCGGGGGTGGTGGCGGGGTGCTGCGGGGTGGAGGGGGCGCCGCGTGTCCCCGGGGCAGGCTCTGCAGCTTGCGGACCCCTGCGGCTCTTCCCCCACCCACCTCAGCCCCAGATCCCTCGGGCAGACTCCACTACCTCCTGGGTCCCCCTTCCTGCATCCCTGTCCGGCGATGCTGCCTCCCGAGGCTCGCACCCCTCCAAGGGAGGAACTTTCCCTTCACCGATCTGCATGCCCAGTCCCCATCCTGTACCCGGAGCCCCCTAGAACAGTACCCCTTCTCTCCTGACCGGCCCCTCACTCTGTTTTCTGTTTGCTTGTTTGGGTTTGGTTGTTCTGTTTTGTTTTTCGGCCACATCAGGTGATGCTCAGGGGTTATTCCTGGCTCTGCACTTAGAAATCACTCCTGGCGGGGCACAGGGGACCATATGGGCTGCTGGGGATGGAACCCAAGTCAGAGGCGTGCAAGGCGGACATCCTCCTTGCTGTCCTATCACGTCAGCAGCCTCACCACGCTCTGACCCTCCTTTCTCTTGCTACCCAAGTGCTCTCCTGTCACCCTCTCACTAAGTCTTCTGTCCTCCCTCTGTGCTCTTTTCCTCCTTCCCATGATCTCTTGCCATCTTAAAAATGGGGTTTGGGGCTGTAGCAATAGCACAGCGGGTAGGGAGTTTGCCCTGCACGCGGCCAACCCCGGTTCGATTCCCAGCATCCCTGAATACCACCAGAGGTAATTCCTGAGTGCAGAGCCAGGAGTAACCCCTGTGTGCCAGGTGTGACCCAAAAAAGCAAAAAAAAAAAAAACGGGGTTAGTGTGGGGCGCAGGTATTTTGGAGAGATGCTTCTATTTCCCTCCTGGAAGTGGGGGGTGCTAAGGAAACAGCCTCCCTTGTTCTCTTCTCTCTCTCTCTCTCTCTCTCTCTCTCTCTCTCTCTCTCCCCCACACACACACACACACACACACACCCCTCAACCCCTCAAACTCCAACTCTCCCGGGCATTGTACATCTGTGGTGCTTCTCCCTGGAGTATCGGCTCTTTTATCTTTTGGAGGGAAAGGGCCCACCTGGTGATGCTCAGGGGTTACTCCTGACTGCACTCAGGAATCACTGCTGGTGGTGCTTGGGGAATCATATGGGATGTTGAGAGTCAAGCTCGGGTCAACCACGTGCAAGGCAAATGCCTTGCCCACTCCAGCCTGAGAATCAGCTCCTGCCCGGCAGCCTCATCTGTTTCATCCCTGGCTGTGCATACCGCCTCGGTCTTCCCCACCTTTGCTGCATGTTCTTGGGAAAAACACTACCACTCTCAGAGCTTCACTGGGCAGCATGGCTTTAGGCCCGGAGCACCCGTTCTATCTCCTTGTGCTGGAGGCTGAGGACACAGCATGAATGAGCTCTGCATGATGGGGACAGGCCATATTTTTGTTCACTGCTGCATTCATAAAACAGTGCTTGGCAGGCAGTTCAATGAATGTTTACTGAACACAGGCTGGTAATAATAGCAAACATACAGTGCTCATTATGTGCAAAGGGCTTTGCAGGTACATTGAACTCATTTGCGTATGTGTGTGAGAGAGAAAGGGGGGAGTGGGGAGTGACAGGCAGAAATCCTGTCACTGAACACTAAGTGCAGGGCAGCTGAAACTGGGGAGCTGTAGATCTGCAGGGGAGAATTTTCAGCTGTAGCCCAATGGTGGTAGCCTGGAAGGATTGTAAGAAGGGGAGGCTTGGACACAGATTTCCACACTGAAAAGCTTCCTCTGGCTAATGCCGCCTCAGGACAGGGTACAAAGCTCAAGAGTAGCCACGGAGAGACCAGGGAGGAAGGTCAGAGCATGTCCAAATACGAAGGTGTTTCTACATTGGGCTAGTAAACATTCAAAATAAGGCCGGTGGGAGCTGGAGAGATAGCAAGGGCATTTGCCTGCCTTGCACGCGGCCGACTCAGGTTCGATTCCCAGCATCCCATATGGTCCCCTGAGCACTGCCAGGAGTAACTCCTGAGTGCAGGATATGTATGGAACTCCTGTGTGCAGAGCCAGAAGTAACCCCTGTGCATCGCAGGGTGTGAACCAAAAAGAAAAATAAAAAAAAATCTGGCCGGTGCCACTGAAGAATGGAATTCTAAGTTTTGTTTGACTTTGGTTACTTTATTTTATTTTTTTTTGTTTTTTTTTTTAATTTTTGGCTTTTGGGCCATACTCGGCAGTGCTCAGGGATCACACCTGGTGGGCTCAGCGGACCATGTGGAGTGCTAGGGATCAAACCCAGGATGGCCCTGTGCAAGGCAGGTGCCCTACCCACTGTACTATCTCTTCGGCCCCTAATTTTGGTTTCTCTAAATGTAAGTTTAAATAGCCTTACGTGGGTCTGAGAGATAGTACAGTGGCCAAGGAGCTTGCTTTGCACACAATCAACCTCAGTTTAATTTCTGGCATTGCATATGGTTCCCTGAACACTGCCAGGAGTGAGTCTCAAGCATATCCAGTGGTCTTCCCCTGCCCCAAACAAAACAAAACATAGCCAATAAATATCCCCTGTGTGGTTAGAGGCCACCCCATTGAGCAGCCAGGCACCAGAGGGACATGCCCTACAGCTCCAGCAAGGCATCACTTAATGATGCTTCTGTGAAGGATGAGCCACACGTAGGATGTGGACTGCGGGGCCGAAGGAGAGTAGGAGAGGCAAGGCACTTTCCTCCCCTGTATCCTCGATGTCCATGACCCTGGTTCAGTCTCCAGCACTATTTATGATCCCCTGAGCATCTCAAGGGAGTATTCCTGAGCACAGAGACAGGAATATTTACTGAGCACTTCCTGGTATGGCCCTACCTGCCGCACCCCATCCCCAAAATATGGTGGAGCCAGACGCCGTGCCAAGTAGCTTAGATTTGTAGTAGGCTGCACCATCTAGACCTGTGACCGTGTTCTCCAACACACACACACACACACACACACACACACACACACACACACACACACACCACTCCCCCCACCATTTTTCTGACCCTGTCCCTTGTGGTCTTTTCACATTGCAGCCATGATGAATTTGAATTGACTCCAATTCTTCCCTGCTCAACATTCTCTCAGAACATTCCATCTAACTCAAGGTAGAAAGGAAAGACTGGGGACTGGAGCGATAGTTCAGCGGGTAGGGTGTTTGCCTTGCAAGCGGCCAACCTGGGTTCAATCCCCAGCATCCCATATGGTACCCTGAACACCGCCAGCAGTAATTCCCGAGTGCAGGGCCACGAGTAACCTCTGCGCAGAGCTAGGTGTGACCCAAAAAGCAGAAGAAGAAGAAGAAGAAGAAGAAGAAGAAGAAGAAGAAGAAGAAGAAGAAGAAGAAGAAGAAGAAGAAGAAGAAGAAGAGGAGGAGGAGGAGGAGGAGGAGGAGGAAGAGGAGGAGGAGGAGGAGGAGGAAGAGGAAGAGGAAGGAGGAGGAGGAGGAGGAGGAGGAGGAGGAGGAGGAGGAGGAGGAAGAGAAGACGGAAAAGACTGTGATGGATGAAAGATGGCCACAACTTTGTCACTTTGCCCTTCAAGATGCAGAGTTCACCCCTTGAATGTGAACCGTCCCCCATAAGAATGTGGTGAGATGGGGCTGGAGCAATAGCACAGCGGGTAGGGCGTTTGCCTTGCATGCGGACAACCCGGGTTCGATTCCTAGCATCCCAATATGGTCCCCTGAGCATCGCCAGGGGTAATTCCTGAGTGCAGAGCCAGGAGTAACCCTTATGCATTGCCAGGTGTGATCCAAAAAGAAAAAAAAAAAGAATGTGGTGAGAGCAGTGCAGTCATGTGTGCTCATCCAA